GCTATGGATGTTTTAAAAAATAATAATCTTTTTACTTATTTTTGAAATGAGGTGAGTTTTTAATTAATATTTTATGATATAAAATTATTTTAACATTGCATGAAAATGACATACTCATATTAAAAAAAAAAAATGTTAAATTTTTCAATTTAGATTAGTAAAAACTCCATAGCCCTACAACTTATGGTCTACTTAATAGTAAGTCAATAATTTAAGGTAATTGTTTAAACATAAAAACAATGTTATCAACAAATTTTACAAATGTAGAAGTAGTTGGCCTTGATATTGCACACTTTTTCTTTATCTAAATGCAATTAAAAAAAAAATTATTTTAAATTATTTAAAAAATTTATTTATTTTATATAAAAAAATAATATATTTATACATACTTAATTGATTCTGTTGTCAATTTAAAAATTTAAACATGTTTCATTCCATATTAACTTAAAAAGTTATCATGTAGGTACTATATGTGACTGCGAGAAATCAAAAATAACAATTGTTATACAATTTGTTCTACCAATCTAGTTATAGATATTTGAATTAAAAGTTAATACAACTAAATTCAATTGAAATTTGAATGAAAACCATATGAATTCCCTAAAAAAAAAATATGATTAACATCAAATTACTTAGGTATAATATTGATTAATTTAATAATAAAAAAATAATTGTACTTACGTAGTTATTGTTTAGTCTCTTGTTTATTTTATTCCATATTAATTTATGAAGTCTTCAGATTGGAACCAGTAGCAAGATACCAGTGTGCAATATGAATTTGCATTAATTACTTGTCAGATTCAACTGTCTAGTGTCTAGTCATATTATTATAGTTCAACGTTATTTTTAATTAACTATACCAATTTTATTATTTGCCACTGAAATAAAATCAAAATATTTTAATTGTAGTTATAGATATTTTTATTAAAAGTTAATGGGTAGGTACTACTAAATTCAATTGAAATTTGAATTAAAACAAAATTTAATTTCCTAAAAAAATTATGATTTACATTAAATTCTGTAGAACATTGATTTATTTTATATAAAAAAAATATTCGTACTTACATAAATAATTGTTAATCTATTGTATATTTTATTCCATATTGATTTATGAAGTATTCAGATTGGAACCAGTATCAATTACCTATAGGTACCGGTACCAGTATGCAATATGAATTTGCATTAATTGCTGGTCAAATTCAAATGTCTTGTGTCAAGTAATATTATAGTTCACTGTTATTTTTGATTAATTATACCAATTATACTAATTGCCACTGAAATAAAATCAAAATGTTCTAATCATAGTCTTTATTTATCAATAATATTAATCATTTATTAAAAAAAAAAAAAATCAAATTTTAGATTAAACTTACCAATAAAGTATACATATAAATAAAGTTATCGGCAAAGTGTGAAATTTAATTCTCATACATAATAATGCAGCTGATAGGATAGAAGTGTATAATATGCATATTTTTAATTAAATTTTAAACTAAAATAGGTACAACATTATTTAAAAAATGTAAAACATTATCAAAAAATATGCATTGGTTTAAATTTATATTTTAAATAGTACACATAATTTAGTTTTTACTTAAAATGTTATTTGTGTTTATACATTCAATAAATAATAATTAATATTCGAGATTCGACAATTAATTTATTTGACAACTTACTCTTAAACTAACGTAAGCAATTAATCAAAAACCACATGTTTTCAGAAACGACAGAAACTGTTTACTGTTTACTGTTTACCGTTTCTCGTTTATCTACAAACTCTTAAGAGATAAGACCGTATACCAAGAATCAGTAACCGGTGCTATATTATGTAACCATAATGGTAAAATGTTATTATCATACTTTAAATATGATACTGCAGCTGCAGCTGTTGTAGGCTTGACGATTCACTCGGTGTTGTGAGTGGGGACAAGATAGGAAGGTCCAAATCGTGTGACCTTTGTACTTATTAGTTTAGGATTATAGGATTATGACTATTATGACCGTTTGGGTCATTAAATTGAGATATAATTTCGTTTTGACTTCTGGTTTTTACTGTTGGGTTTGATCAATTGCCCAGTAGCTGTAAATTAAACGAATATTTAAGCATAAATAAGTCGCAAACGAATTACTCAAATTAAATTCTGCAAACGTTAAAATTATTTTTTTCAGA